GGAAAGCCATCATTTCTGCTGCTTTCTTTAGAGCAGCTTTCCCCCCTGTTGAGTGTCCTCCAGATATGTGGGCTTCAGTCCACACAATTCTCAGCAGTGGTCTACTGGCTGGGAAATTCCAGACGTTGATTCATGCATCTGGAGAATACCCAAGGTGGGTAAGGAAGGTCTAACAAGATACTAGCATAGAAAACTTGAGAATAACTTCAGGAGTAGTAAATATGTGGGGACAAAATTAAACAGGGCAAGCAACATACAGTCAAAGTCTTACCCTACTCTCTTCAAGGTGCAAAATGTCCTCTCCAGATATGTTTAATCTTTTAGTGAGCTTTACAGCCCCAACTTTCTAGTGTCCCAAATTTACTTTTACCACACGGTGGCACTAGAAGTCAAAAATACTCAACAGACTCTTCCTCTCCCAATTTTGCAACTTCCTCCCTCCTCCTATCAAAGCTTGTGCTTCTGTGATACTCCTAAACAAGAACATGGACTTCATCTGAAGGTGTGTTCTGGTCTCACTCCTTCATCTCTCAAGAAAGAACTCGAGTCTCTCTTCTTCAGCCAGGATTTTTCGACTTAGTTTAGTAACGGTGATTTGGGCCATTTTCATGAGATTTTAGTTACAGCATCCTTTATTTTTTATTATTAGCAGCCTTGAATGCTTAGTGGGCAAAACAGTGGAATATAAGTTGCAGAAATAAAATGAAAAAAAAATGTCATGCTAGAAAAACCACTCACATTTGCCCCCAATATAGGTTCATTTGTTACTAGATGACAATAAATAGCTTACTTAGGTATTAATTGAATATTTAGTTTGAAGAAATGTTGGAGAGAACTTGAAAAGTGGGAATACAAGGATATACATTTGGACAGAAACAACAACACCCTTCTGTCCAAATTAAAGGACACTACACTGTGAAAGGGCCAGCCCCTACTTTCCTAAGGATCTTGAAGAAAGATCAAGAAATATGTCCCCTTTTTTGTGGAGGGGGGATATTTCCCAACCCATCCATTATTGAGGCCTATCACAGGGAAAAACTCAAAACTGCTTAATAAGACAACCTTAGTGCTCACACTGCATTGGCTACAAAACAGAGCTGAGCTGGAAAAATGGGAGAACATTCTGGATGCTGGCCTCCCCAGCAGATGGCATATCTGTTTGCCATTGCCTGTCATTTGGACCAGCTGGGAGAACATTAACCCACCATGTCCCACCTACGAAAGAAGGGGTCGGGTTGCTCTGCTCCTCCAAACACCTTTGAGACCTGCCAGCTATGAGGACCAAAGTGAAGAAAGGTACTTTCAAGGGGAGATGAGTGGTGGAGTAGCTGAGCCCATCGTTTTTATTTGGAAACGTCCCCCAACCCATGATTTCTCACTGCATCCTCCATGCCTTTCTCTCAGCCCCAAAACAGCCCTGGGATAGCAATGATCCTATCCCTTACATACCCCTGGATGTAAGCCAGTGGTCCTCATCCTTTGAGGGCCAAAGCGCGTCTTTGGAATTTTGAGAACATGTCGTGCCCACTCACCTCCAGTACCTTTCACAAGGCCATGGCAAGCTACAGGACACCCACATAAAGCATGGCATAGTGATTTTGCTCCCAATAGGCTGCACTGTTTCAGTTTACTTTTTACATTTTTTCTGGGCAGGTAGGCCAGATTCCACAGAAAGCACGAAGCTATTTTCTGAGAACACCACTGCAGTCTCTGTTGGATCCAGAAGCGTTACAAAGAATAAATAGAATGCCGAAGGTCAAAGCTTTGCTCTGCAGTGACCTAGTTTCCCATTTAGCTATTTTTAATTAAAGCTGGAACTTGATGCAATTATCATTTGCTTACGCACACACGCAAATCCAGAACGCAGCTAGCAAAAGCCCTCCTTCTGCTCAAAGCCTGATTGTAGATCAATAGATTTTCACCAAATTTTATACAAAGTCCGTGAATGTACATATTGCTGCATCTGTGAATAGCAGCCTGTGTGGCAATTCGCTAATGGGAAGGAATTACCCAAGATGTTGCACTGTTCCAGGAACCATCCTTGGCTGTTTCACTTCCCCAAGCTTCCTATTTCACAACTATTGTGCTTTTTTCTTTACCTTGGGGAAAACTGTTGTGAAGTGATAATACAGATGCTGATTGGCTAGGACTTGCCATGACAAGCCGTTGGTATCAACTGAAGGTGTTAGCCAATCAGCAATTACACATTTGTACAATGCTGGCTGAAATATCCCCTACCTCCAAAGTTGTTTCTCTCTTAATGGCTGGCTAGTAAAGGTAGGGTTTTTGCTCCCCCCACTCAGATGTTCTGCAAGCTGCATGTTGTTCCAGTTGAAAAAACCCAGATCAGTGGCCACTGGTTCTCTGGGCATGTGTACTCAGTTTACATCTCTGAGAGGTGATACATCATAGCCTTCTACAAAACAATACCTTCCAAATATCTGGAGGTTAATATAGTTCAGGATTTCCAAATAATAGGGCTGCTGAGCACTTAAGATCAGAATTCTAAGAGTTGTAATCTCAGCATGTCGGTCAAAAATAAACATCACGGCAATTAGTTAAGGGCATGTTCCAGATCTGGGTGTGCCAACTTGCAAGAGAATATAAGCAAAACCAAAATTTGCTTGAATACCTGCACAAAGACAGTAAAGAGGATAACAACTGTGGTTGCCGCAATGAAAAGCTTCTTCCGCTGGAAGTCAGGGAGCAAAACCACCAGGGAGAAACAGATGGCCCCTCTAAGGCCACCATATGCAATAATGAACTGGTCCTTGGGCGTGACAGTGTTGATGTGCAACCTGTTGATGAGGAAAGTCAGCACCAGAACACCTGAAAGAGATGAAGCAGGGTGATCAATCTTAAAGAGCAAAGGAAAACTGAGGATCATCCACTAAAACCACCATCCTCCTATAAAAGAGTTGCCACAATCTCAGTTTGCATCAAGAGACCTGAAGTGTGTTGAAAGACTAGGACTACACAGCATGCCAGGTTAGGCTTCTGTGGGGTCAGTTTATAGTTCAACATGAAAACCTAACCCTTGTCTCAGCATGTTGTGTGAATCAGGCCATCATGTTACCTGAGTAGATGTAATATGAGTACAGCAACTTATTTTTGTTGACCTGGGTTTAGGACTTAAGTGTATTGTATGAGCCCAGCCAGAACCCAGCTTAATGGG